CCTCCGGGAGCGTACGAAAAGTTTCCCCTTCCAGAGATACACTTCACCGGCTGGCGGGCGACGATCGCAATTGCAAGCCGCCGCTTTTCGAGGTAGACTCGTTTCGTTCCCCTACTCTCTGTTCCCCACTATGAGGCACACAGCGATACTAGCCAGCGAGCCATACTACGCTCCCGCCACGGTGACGTCACTCTGAGTAGTGTAGTGCAGTGAGAAGGAGCGAAGCCAGCTCCATCCGCGTTACATGGCCCAAGTGAACGAAGCGAGTGCGTTTGAGACGTACATATACAAGCGTGCATTGTAGCGCGATCAAGTTGACGAAAATATCATTAATTTGTTTGATTAATGCACGTTATGTGACACGACAAGTTATTCGATCGCGAGAAAGATAGAAAAATTTACGCTTCGCTTTTGCTGAAAAATATATTCGACGTATAATTCCATTAACGAAATATGAGAGCGGTGATGATAATACAGTGATGTGAAATAATCGACTACACGAGTTATAAGTGAAATAAAAGAAAAAGAAATTGAAGTAAGAAAAAAAGAAAAAAAGTGTGTTCGTGTGCGCGGTAAAAAAGAGTTATACCTTGTAATATTTAGCAGAAAGGAAAGGCAACGATTCGTAAATCGATTGTTCTTTTTTTTAAGTGGGGTTTTCGCGAGAGTTTGAAAGCGTATCTACAGCCTCTTCGTCGGTGTACGACAGAAAAACGAGAGGCGTTCGAAAATTTGCAGGCAAATCAACGCGAGTGTGAATATGCTTGGCAAATATGCGTTGGGATGTATCGCCCGCGCATTGTGCCCGGTGTGCTTGGTGTGACGTGTGATTAATCGCTTTTCTTCATACGCGATTCAGTGGTATACGATGTGGTGTTCGGCGACGGTCCTGATCCTTCTAGCCGTTGCCATCAGTGGTGTCCACTATCGAGGCTCCTCCTCTTCTTCTTCGTGGTCGTCGTTGTCGTCAGCGTGCGTCGCGACGCAAAAATTTTATTGCGAGAGCTCTGTAGCCACCCTCTTCTGTTGGCCGATCGTTCCACGGCGCTGCCCTGACGACAGCACTCATCGTGCTTGGGGTCACCACCTTCCGGCTAGTGACTAGTGATAATTTGTTTGTTGCCAGTGATTAAATTGGGAGTGTCGAAGTGGGAGGAAGCTCCTTTCTTCGTCGTGGAATACATGTAACGGTTTCTTCGTTTCTTGTCGCGTGTGTGTCGCGAGCTATACATGAGAAAGTTTCTTCTCGTGAATTGAATAAGAAATATCATTTGTGTCATATCGAATCTATTATTTACTTATTGATTTGTCGCGAAACAAGTAAACACCGATTGAAAGAAACCCGGCAAAGAGAAAAGAAGTTTCTTTTAGCCGACCTGCTGGCGGTATTGAATATCGGTGGTGTGGTGAGAGTGTGCCGTGATTAGAGTCGGGCGAAGTTGTGTGTCGTTGTACAGTGCCGCCAAACGATACCACAACATCCGATCCCAAATGAAGAGTTCGGAGCAAAATGGTTAGAGAGACACGTCACTTGTGGGTTGGAAATCTGCCGGAAAACATCCGAGAGGATCGTATACGAGAGCATTTCAAACGGTGAGTGAACTTCTTTTTTCTTTTATATCGTCTTCTTGCCTTCTGACAAAAAGACAATCTTATATAACTATACATACATATATCAATTCAAACACTACCTTAGTTTATGTTATTGACATTTCTTAGTTAGATTATTTAAAATATTATTAAAAAAACTCTATTTTTTTATTTATTTATTCATATACCTATTTCTTTCGATATCAGAGAACATGAACTTTGAGATGTATGATAAAATTTACCGACTAGAAATATTTCTAATTTGCCTCAGATCGTTAGTTCTAGAATAAATTGATTGAAAAAGAAATATACAAATACATTTAAGAGATACATAAAAATAGAATATTTTTATTATTATCACGATCAATGATAATTTTATCGAAAATTTTACGATTATATGATTATTCCTTCCGCCAGTACCGTCTGCCAGACTTTAAAATTGTCGATTCTAGCCAAGCCGGAATTTCTATAGTATTGTATACAATTTCATGACCGGTAAATGAACAATCATAAAGGAATGTCGCACAAATCTGTTTGTTATTTATTTTTTTTTTTCCGTGTCTATAACAAAGGAGTGGTATTATCAGTTTGATAGAATCGGAATTCAGGAACACGCGTAAGGTGTACCTCGATGTTTTTAAGTCTGTACGTAGATCGAGGATCCTGCACGCATATGTACACACCCACACTTCACATACACACGCGACAAGGCGTACGTATACGAAGAAGAGCCTTGGCTCTGTCTCTCCTCTCGTAGCGTGAGCGCGCCGTCATTTGTTTTTTCCCCGAAGTAATAATAGCTGAGGACAGCCATTTTGAGAGCTCGCAGCGGCACGAAGTTATTGTTCGACAGAGGTGCTCAAACTGTGGATCCTCAAGCAGGATATATTTTTCATATATCCAGAAAGAAAAAAAAATCAAAATAACTTAAAAATTTTACTATATAAGAATTTTGTTATTGTATTTTTTTATTATTATTATTATATATTGTTTATTTAACATTTTTGCTTTATTAAAATCGTAAAAAAGAAATAAGACATTAAAATTTCATAAAACATAATTGGAAAAAAATGCGAATATAATATTTAGATAAATAATTTCTTTTCATTTTATAAAGAATATAAATCTCTGTGAAAAAATAATAATTGTTTAATTTCTATTATATCATTCATTATATCGTAATTACAATTTCGAATATAATTTAATATTTTATTAGGAAAAATTTATTTTGATTATTCTATTTTATCATATAGCAGTATTATATGAATTTGAAAACATTTCTTTTATTAATATTTTATTAATTATCAATTTTATTAAATGTTTTTTGTGTTTTAATTTGAATATTGTTGTAACCTATTTTATAAGCTTATCATATATTTTAAAAGAATAAGAATTATATTAAATTTATTAATCACTTCACTTTTTACTTTCTAAGAATTTGTTTTGTAATATAATCATTAAAAATATTTACTTTTGCATATAATTATATGTATTATGTAATATATAAAATAGAAATGCACTTAAAATATAAGTAGAATTGTTAAAGAGCAGAGATCGAAGCAGGAAAACAGAAGTGAAAACTAACGGTGACGTGGCACAGTGGCGCTCAACTTTCGGATATTCAAAAATATAAAATAAAAAGAAAAATGAAAAATATTTTTTCGTAAATTCGATAAAATTCGATAAAATCAATACAATTATTTTAAATAATTATTTATATTCGAAAAAAAATATGTAATTATTATAAATTTTGTATGAATATATTTTATTACATGAATAGCTTTTATTATGATAATAATTCAAATATAATATATATTATTTATTTTAATAATTTTTATTGCTATTACTATATTATAATATTTCCTAAGAATTTTAGGAAATTATAAAAAATATCAAGTTGAAGATCGAAAATCATGTCTATTCATATTATTTTAATAATTACTATTCGTAAGTTAATTACATTATAATTATATGTTTAATATTATATGTTTTTTAACACTTGGAACTTATAATTGTTTTAAGATATTATATCAATTTACTTATAAAATACTGAAAAATGTGAAGAATGTTTTTATAAGTTCATAGTATTTTTGAACTCAACAAATCCTGTTTTCGGATTTAAAATAATTAAGTATATATTGATTAAAATGATGAAATATACAATCGGTTAACTTTTGGTAATAAAAAAAAAATCTTTTTAAACGGGAAATGGATTTTTTTTAATGGGGAATGGATGTTTTCAATATAAATTTTAATTTTTATTGTGTTATTAATTTTTCTTCTATAAACGTATACGTTGTTGAATATTCGCATTGCTCGTGGCGCTACATTTTACGTGCCAGCTGGCGATACTTCATTTATACACTGGCTTCATTCTTACAGTCATCTACCGTGCGTTATA